TCCTCACTAAGAGTCATACATTTGCTCACACCACACACTGGTAGATCAGGGAAGCCGTACTGCTCAGCTTTCATGAATACCAGCTCTGGAATCATAAGGATCTGGATTCACCACTTATTAGTTATAAGATCCTGGGTAAGTTCCTTACCCTCTCTGTTCTCCAATCTATACTCACGTGATAGGATTCCTGTGAGATTAGGTGAGGTAAAATGCATGCAGAGCACTTAGCATAGGCCCTGGCATGTAGTAGAGATAAATATTAGGTGAAGAAAAACTATGATAACATTATTTATGTTTCTTGTCTAATTATATTTACTAAAACTTCAAGAAAATTAATTATGTGTAAAAAGAGGTTTTTCCTTATGGATCCTGATTTTAAAGGAAGTACTTGTTGGTGAAGTGTCTATAGTTCATCCAGGGACTACCCTCCCTTCTCAAAAGGGGCCCTGGAAACTCCTGAAATCATACATAATAAGTCATGTGTATGGACCTCAGAGGGTACATAATTATCACTTACATGAACACCAAATTATTTTTTCAAAAATCACTAATATCCTGTTTCCAAGTAAAGTATTATGGCTCTTCCCCTTATTTTTATATGATCACATGGTTTTTATTCAACTTCTTTGTACTGATTTACTGATGTTGACTGAGAGCCAATTTATAAGATATTCTTTTTTAAAAATTATTTATTTATTTGAGAGAGTGTGCATGTGTGTGTGGGGGGGGGGCCGGGGAGAGTGAGAATCTTAAGGGCTCCATGCCTGACATAGGGCTTGATGTTGGGCTCGATCTCATGATCCTGAGATCATGACCTGAGCCAAAACCAAAAGTTGGACACTCAACCGACCGAGCCACCCAGGCGCCCCTATGCTATTCTTGAGTTCTCAGGGAAAAAACCTATTTGGCTGAGACAAAGTATTCTTTCAACATATGGTTAAATTCAATTTGTTCATGTTTTATTTAAGCTTTTCATTCTTTCAATACATTCATAATTGAGAAAATTCTGTTTCTGTTTAGATTTGTCTATATTTTTGCAAACTTTTAGTTTTTTTTTAAGATTTTATTTATTTATTTGAGAGATAGAGAGCACGAGAGGGAAGAGGGTCAGAGGGAGAAGCAGACTCCCCGCCGAGCAGGGAGCCCGATGCGGGACTCGATTCCGGGACTCCAGGATCATGACCTGAGCCAAAGGCAGTCGCTTAACCAACTGAGCCACCCAGGCACCCCAAACTTTTAGTTTTAAACTTTAGGTCATTTTGTTTGATCTGTCAATGTTGCAAGCCAAACACCTGACATTTTAAAAATTTAGAGTCTGCTTTTTAAAATAGGAAGCTTGAACTATTTACATTTATTTTCATGATTAAGAGTTTATTTATTTTTTTAAAGATTTATTTGAGATAGAGCGTGTATGCACAGGGTGAGGGGCAGAGGGAGAGAGAGAATCTCGAGCACACTCTCTGCTGAGTGCAGAGACCAACCCAGGGCTCCATCTCACCACCGTGAGATCACGATCTGAGCTGAAAACAAGAGTCGCACACTTAACCAACTGAGCCACTCAGGCGCCCCTAAGAATTTATTCTTAAATTCCTTCTTTCATTACTTTTGTTCCTTTTAAAAAAATCTATTATTTGTTTTTTCTTGAGCTCTGATGACTTTGAAAGTATTATAATCAATTTTACATATTACTGGTTTCACTTATTTTAACTCCAAGATGAAGTAACTTCTGACTATACTTCAGGTAAAAGTAATATTTATACAACTCTTTTTCTTTGCAAGCTAAGAAAGCTTTGCCCAATGTTTGAGAACAATGTTTCTGTTATCTCACATTATTATACATACATCATCTAGTATAAATCTTCAGTAATTATTTTTGGCATAAATAATAAAGTTCTATATATTTAGCTGGTCTCAAAAGACTCATGCAGATATATTTTCAGATCATAAATTCTTTGTTCTTAAATTTTTAATTTTCATTCATGTTTCTGGAAATGGTACTACACATTCAAATAATACACCTTCAGTAGTTTTCTTGTTTTCAGGGAGGGAACATTTGTAATAATTCTCTGTTAATTTGCATGTTCACTACTGACCTCACAAACAATTGACACTTAGGTGACCAGATTTCTTGTGATAGAATTTTTCCCTCAATACTGTGTAGATGTCGTTTTTTGTCTTCTGGATTTAGTGTTTTCTGAGAGAAGCCTGAAATGCACTAGACGTTTCTTTTTCTGTTGGGATACTTGCAAAATTAATTTTTCCCCTGAAATTAAAAAGTTCTAAATATAGTTACAGGTCATAATTTTTACCTGGAATGCAAGATGGACTCATCTCTTCCTAGATTTTTCTGTTAATCTCAGGAAGGTTTTTTCATCATGCTCTTTCTACTGTTTCTGCTCCATTAGTACTAGTAATGGGAACACTTACTTACAGGTCAAGTATTTCTGTATGTCCTCATTACTTATTTCATTTTCGTTTTAGCCATTTCTTCTCATGGAAGAATGCCTCAAATTTATCTTCCTTACCACTAATTAGATTTTTCCATGGTACCAATTCTACTATTTTTGGCCTAAGATGCAGTTTTTAAAAAGCAAATAAAGGCAGAACATGGAGAGACTGGTTTTAAATCCCCCTCACTCTACTGCTGGCTATATGGCTCTGGCAAACCATTTAACATCTTTGTTAAGTGGTTTTTCTGTTCTGATGTTTATAAAACCTCTCATGCAAAATAAGAGCCCCAATACCTATGTTTCATGATTAACATGAGAATCAGAAATAGCATTTGCAAAATTCTTATCACAGTGCCTAATAGACTGTTGAAAAATAAGGTGAATCTGCCATTATGAATTCTCTTAGTACAGCCTTTCCCTTGCTTCCTTTTCTTACTTCAGCCTGCTTCCCTTCCAATCTCAGCCTGTTCTGTACATGTTTTTGTTCTGAAGAGGTCCCATCTCTTCATATGTTATTCAAAGAGGTCCTATTGGGTTGTGGTTAAGAGAATGGGTTCTGTAGTCAGACTGTTAAGAGTTTGAATTCTGGTTCTGCCACTTACTATGCAAATTTAGGCAAGGTTATTCAACCTCTCTGTAATCCAGTTTCCACAACTATAAATGGAGATCAAACCTCATCATTTCATTGTTTGTTATTAAAAACTAGTTAATATACATAAAACATTTAGAAGTGCTCGAAAGATAGAAGCACTGTTATCTAGTAAATAAAAGCAGGTATTCCTCCTCTATTTCCTAAAGTAAATCATTTCAAAAATATTTTGTTTTCCTCTAAGTCCTCCAGGAATTTCCCCTTCTTTTGAGCTAAAAAATCTCTTCCTCAGTATTTTTTCCTAGGATACTTATCTATGAATAAAAAAGAGTCTGAATGGCCTGCTATGTACCAAAAGAGGCTGGGTAGATTATGTTTAGTCACCTTACATGTGCGTGTTCCCAACATCTAAACTGGACAATGTGTAAATGGACGTCTCCTCTGCCCATTTTTTCGGTATCCATTTAATTGAGCATTCCTGGCCTAAACTGCATCTGGTTCATGCTTAAAAAGCCAGTTCTAGGGCGCCTGGGTGGCTCAGTTGGTTAAGCGACTGCCTTCGGCTCAGGTCATGATCCTGGAGTCCCGGGATCGAGTCCTGCATCGGGCTCCCTGCTCGGCGGGGAGTCTGCTTCTCCCTCCAACCCTCCCCCCTCTCATGCTCTCTCTCTCTCAAATAAATAAATAAATAAAATCTTAAAAAAAAAAATTAAAAAAAAAAAAAGCCAGTTCTATCAGTAAGAGAAAATACAAGGTTCTACTTTGACTGAGTCCATAAAAATATCCTCAATTGTTTCAAGGGTTCTTTCTGTTTTTGTCCAATGTATACCACTTTACCCAAGGGGAGGGCATATACCAATATGCAATGTTCCATCCTCCATATGCCACTATTCCCTTCCGTACTCATACTGGTACCACCAGAAGAAGTGCATTATATAAAAGGGCAGCATTCACTATGGGAGACCTAATCTGCCCCATTCTGTCAGCAGGTCTAAATTGGTATGCAATAGTAAACAGGGGTACTACAAACCTCTCACAGGTGTGCAGCCGGATTCTGGCCAGTGTTAGTACTTATTTTTGCCTCACTTGAGAATATATACTATTACATTGATGGCTGCCAGAGAGAATATTAGAATGAAGAGGTCGCATGGCAAAATTCAGAAGAGGGTAAAATTTGCTACAAGTAAAATATAAGCTATATATAACTCATAAAACTCTTGCCAAAGAAATACTACGTACGAATTACCAGAACATGCATGAAGTTATTTGTGCCTCTGTGTGTGTGTGTGTGTGTGTGTACATAACAGATTATGGTCAAAGGAGTAAAAAGTCCAAGTAATATAGCAAAACAGGTCTGAAGAGTGAAGAGTACATTAACCGTGGATATTATTACAGACTCTTTAAAAAATACTCTGGAATCAGGTTGTAGTCAATTGCTGATTTGTTTAGCACTGTTCTGAGTTCTGCATTTTTAATCTCTTCAACTGTGCTGCCAAAAATTGTCATTTGAAAGTGTGCCTCATGAACAAAAAGATAATTACTGCCTTCAGATTCCATTGATTTCTCCTGGTTCTGCTGGGTAGAATCAGATCAATCAGTCTAAATAAAAACAAGCCACTGAAGATCTGAAGTAACATATTACTCCCTAAGTTCTTCACAATTCTGGGTTAAAAATCTTGATTTTCTTTAAAAATGTGTAATATATTGGCCAGTTGAGTTTGCCCATTCTCTTACCACTCTCACCAGTTTGTCTAGATTATTTTGGTAGCACAGCACTGAAGACTGAATTCAGTACCCCAAGAGTCATGTGGATTCTAACATAAGCTTTATTTTACCATGTGCTATTGACTATGACATAGATTTACTATTTTCAATTTCCAAAGTTCCTCAGAGTTTTAATATGAAAGTCATAATTTCATGCAGATATAGAAGTCATCATTACCAAATGATCGATTACTCACTGCAATTTTATCTCCAGATTTGCCAATTTTTTTCTTCAGTTTTTTTCTTTCATGAATGAGCTCATGGTGGGTCTTAAGCAATTCCTCAAAGCGAACTTTGGTTTTTACTTTGGCTTCACTCTCCACTGCAAAGATAAAGACTCTTGTCATTTTCTAAACAATTCTATTATAGCAGGTATCTGCATTATTATGTTAAAGAACACAGTCTTGTAAATACCTGCATGAGTTCTTCAGCTACTTTAGAACTGACCAGTCCTTCCTTCTTAAAAACTTTTCTTTTGGCTTTGGTGACACCACACTCACCTGAATCCCTCTTACATTTTGGGATACTCCCTTTAAAAGTTTCCCATACTAAGTTAACTTTCTACTTGTGACTCACGGTAGCATCTACCACTGTTACGTGGCCTTAACCAACTTACTTAACAACTCTAAACGTCATCTTCATTATCTGTAAAATCAGAATAATCCTATGTCAAAGACCATTTGCATGAAGAATGGCTAACACTTAGCTAGGCAATAATCAGCATTCAATAAATACAAAAAGCTGAAAGTTATTTTTTCCTTTAAAACATAAGTCAGATCGTGTTATTCCCTTGCTTAAGACCTTGCCAGTTTCCCACTTCACTTAGGACAAAATAAAATGAGTCCTTCACACGCCCTACAGGGTTCTCACTTCCTGGCCTGCCTACCTCTACAGCTTGAATCCAAGAGAAACAGCCCCTTAGATCCCTATATTTTAGCCATTCTGTCCTTCTTCTCACTCCTCCATCAGAATAAGCACCTTTCCAGGTGAAGCTGCTTCTCCCTGCTGCAAACTTCTTGATAAGGAAAATGGAGAACCAGGCACCCGTGTGGCTCCCAAGGATGGGCTGAAGCCGGGATCTAGGCCTCTCAAAGCTTTAGATGGGAGATCTCAGGTTTCAACACCACGTGTAGGCAAAATGTCTGATGCTCAAGCAGCCTTACCTAAAGTTGCCAGAAAGGCTTTGGGAACTGTTCAACAGAGTCACAGAAAACTCATTTGGGCGCCTGGGTGGCTCAGTTGGTTAAGCGACTGCCTTCGGCTCGGGTCATGATCCCGGAGTTCCGGGATCGAGTCCCACATCAGGCTCCCTGCTCAGCAAGGAGCCTGCTTCTCCCTCTGACCCTCCCCCTTCTCATGTACTCTCTCTCTCTCATTCTCACTCTCTCAAATAAATAAATAAATCTTAAAAAAAAAAAAGAAAACTCAGTAAAGACTAATGGATCTCTCAAACAGAACTTCTCAGCTACTGGTGTTAAGCAGCCTATTCAAATGTTGCCTCTAAAGTGGAACATTTCCTGACAATCTCATCTAAATTTCCCCGTTCCTCACATAGCAGACTGTTCTTTTTCTTCACAGCACCTACCACAGCTTGAAACTATATAATTGTGTATCTACACAAATATATTATCTCTGTCTCTCCCACTATACTATGCTACCATCCCTACTACCATAATGAAATCTAGCATAGAGTACCTACTAATAAACATGTTTTAATGCTGAATAAATGCTGAATGAATGGATGAATGCCCCAGAGCGGGTGTTGGCAAATTACTGCCTATAGGGCAGTCATCTACTTTTATACATAAAAGTTTATTGAAATACAGCCATGCCCATTCTGTTAAGAATTCTTATGGATGCTTTTATGCTTCAGTGGCAGAGATGAGCAGTTACAGCAGAGAATAAACCTAAAATATTTACCAGCTTTCCCTTTAGGAAAAAGTTTGCCAATACCTGCTTTAGAGTAAACTGTCCATTTCGATGATAAAGAATAAAAACTAACCATATGTTGTAATGATTATTTACCTTCTCCAGTGGAGTCCCAAACTGCCATCCATTAAATACATACTAGCCTTAATAGCTAACATTAAATAGAAAATTGATTAAATAAATAAATAAAAGAAATAAAAAAATAAAATAAATAGAAAATAAATGGAAAATTGAATACCAAACTATTAAATATCTAAATGTAGTATTTGGTTAATGTATTCATTAATAGGTCAAAGAACCCCTTAAAATAATTCAAACTTTAAAATAAATAAGCAAAGGGCGCCTGGGTGGCTCAGTTGGTTAAGCGACTGCCTTTGGCTCAGGTCATGATCCTGGAGTCCCGGGATCGAGTCCCACATCGGGCTCCCTGCTCAGCAGGGAGTCTGCTTCTCCCTCTGACCCTCTCCCCTCTCATGCTCTCTCTCTATCTCATTCTCTCTCTCAAATGAATAAAAAAAAAAAATTAAAAAAAAATTTTTAAATAAATAAGCAAATAAAATGTATGGCATATATAAATTTCATAAAAGTTTTACCAGTGGGCATATCTCAGCTTTATGGCGAGCATCCAGCTGTAATGTAAAGCAATGACTCAATCAGGATCCTATTAAAACAAAGAGAATTTATTTGTAGTATGGAATTTGCAAATAAAAATTACAAAACATTTTTCACACAAGATTATGTGATGATTTGTCCACTACCTCATCAGGTTTATAGCAATACAGCTAAGTTCTCTTATCCAGTCTTATGCATATGACTTAAATACATTGGAATCAGTTTAGAGTCTGAAAAAAAATTAAAGAAAACTGGATATTTGAATAAAATATTTACATATTTGAAACAAAAAATTTTTAAAAACCTTTAAAGGCAGTATATATGCACTTGATATGTTAATGCACTTTTAAAAGTGTTTTCAGTAAAAAATAAACATTTCAATGTACTTTTAAGAAAATAAACTCCACCCCAGAATTGACTTTCCCAAGACCATACGCTATTATATTAGTAAAGTATGCTTGTGGGTAGCATATTCACAGATAATGAATTTGAACATTTTTGTACCTTCCACTAAAAATGTTGCAACAATAGAGAAGGTTAAGCACAAGCATTTGTACCATCTTTCTCAAATAAGTATCTGGGCATGTATTGTTACATATCAAAACCAGGGATAAACTCAGTATATGTATTCCTGAATTTCCAATTTTACTTAAAGATGAGAGTGTATGTCCAAAACAAACATATTAATTTCCACATTAGAACACAATATTCACACATTTTTAAGAATAAAACTGAAGACTGTAAAAAAAAATAAGAAAAACATAATTTGAGTTGGCTGAGCAATTATCTGTTAAAGTTCCAGATCCCTGGGGATGCACCTTCATGTTGCTCTAATATTATGGGTACTCTGGATAGAAAAGTCTGAGAAGAAATGCTAAAAAGGTTAAGAATGATTATACACATATATCTAATTATGCGGATTAACTTATAATTTTCTGGTACATCAACAAAATAGATATCACTAAATTCACACAGTAAAGACTCCTATGCTTTACAGATGGGAACCCAAATGTAGTCTTCCTACAGGTACAGATCTAATAAATTTGGTCACGTACTTTCCAATCTACCCCAAATTAGAAAAGAGAGAAGATGTAAAGGCAAGTGCATCAGTAATTAAAACCTGATAGCACATAAGTAGAAAAAATATAAAGCAAATAATGACTTAATATTTATACATTCCATGGCCATTCAATATAGAGGAAAACAGCTCAACTACATGAGTCATTAAGAAAAGGCTTACTTATATTCAGCTTGACCTGTTTCCCATTAAACAAAAAATTTATGGTATTCTAGACATTTCAGAAAGATTAAATAAAAACTACTGACAAGGCAGGACAGAGTCCAGGATGATTCTCATTTTCTGGAAGTAGAATACTTAGGCCCCCAGTAGTATCATTTATTGGAATACAGGACAAGTATAGTGGAGAAGTTTAAAACCCAAGTCTTAGAATTAGTCTCAAATAGTTGATTGTGTGACCTTAGGCATTTGTTTCCTCATCTGTAAAATCAGTCTACCAGTGCATATTCAAAAGGCTGTTATAAGGGTTAAATGATTTAAAATAATGCCCCAGTAAACTTCTGTTATGATTGTAATAGATACTTGTGGGAACACTCAGTGAGCTTAGTGGGGCATATTGAGCTGGGTATCTGAAGGGCACTAACCAGCTACAAGCATTGGCTTCACTGTCAGATCCCTAGATTCAAATCCCAGTTCTACCTGCCAGTAAATTAATCTCTGGACCTCAATTTCCTAAGCTTTCAAAAGGGAATTATACTAAATCATTCATAAAGTTTTGGTAAAGATTAAATGAGAATATCCAAATAAAACACTTAGCACAATGCCTAGAACATGGCAAGCCCTTAGAAAATGACAGCTATTATCACTGTATATATAAATACATGTTTGTGTGTATAATCAGGCTGTGTTTGGTAGGCAATAGACTATAGTAATCCACCAAGGAGAACTAGGCTGAAGATTTGAGAACTAGGCTTTACATTTATGATGGTTTCAGGGAAAAATGTGCCAAAGACAGAATTCCGGGAGCCCAAAAATAAAGTAAAAAGACAACAAAGAGATAGGTGAAAGCTGGGGAGAGAAGTAACCAAGGGAAGGAGGTTTATTTGTTTTTTTGTTGTTGTTAGAGAGGGACAGAAAGAGCATGAGTGGGGGGAGGGGCAGAGGGAGAAGGGGAGGGAGAGAGAATCTCAGGCAGGCTCCATGCTGGATCTTATGACCCTGAGATCATGAGCTGAGTGGAAATCAGGAGTCAGCCACTTAACCAACTGAGCTGCCCAGGTGCCCCTCAAGGAAAAAGAGTTTTAACAAAGAAGTTTTCTATCACTGTGTGGTACCAAGCGTGCTGCAAGTTGTGAAGAGTGTCCACTGGATCTGCAGTGCAGACAGGAAGTCACATGTTTGCAAAGCTGTTTGTGAAGGGGCAGAAATCTGGGGGCCACAGGTGGACAAATGAATGGAAGGTGAGACCTGTAGAAGAAACATGGGGATAATTCTTTCTACAAATCTGCTTCCAACTGTCTTCCCCCACCCTCAAAGGCAGTGACATGATGCAGCAGCTTTGAGGGATAAAAAGACTATGGAAAGATTTTACTTTTTTTCTTAAGGTTGCTTCCATGCTTCTATCACCCTACCCTTTTAAAAAATAAATCATCCTCTTCATTGCAAGCAGAAGAAATTTCCTAAAATACAAATGCGATGGTATCATTTGTTTAAATCTCTTCACTAGATTTTAATAACCCACTGGAAAAAATAGGAAGTCTTTACCATTGGGGTTCAAGGCTACTTATGAAATGACTCCTTCTCAGCCACATTTCCACACACATTCTGAATTCTAACCATGTGAAATTACTTACAGGCCTTCAATTGTGCCAAATGCCTTCTTGCCTTTGTAACATTACACACACTCCTCTCTCTCCTGAGAAATGCCCTTCTTCTGTCACTCCAACAAACTTCCTAACTATTCTTTAAAGTTAAATGCAGATGGTATCTTCTCTGGGAGCACTCTAACCTTAAAGGGCTTAGGTTAAATACTTCTCTGTGCTCCCACAGTGCCTTGAGCTTCATACCTCCCTCTCTACCTCAGCCCTTTATTTTCACCCTGGTAAAACGTTGTATGACCCAGGAAATTAAAATGGTACCTACTTTATTGTAGGGAGAAAAGGAAATACTGAAAAGCAAAGTGATCAGCACAGTGGCTGGCACATATAAAATTACTTTAGGTCTATTATTATAGTACTAAAAATAAGTGTGCAATAAACAAAATACACCAAGTAAATTTCGTATTCACATTTACTATTACTTAGTTCAATGCACAGTTGAACACTAATACTACTTAATACAGCAAACACATTACAGAAATAATCATTTCCAAACATTAATGTGTCCCATAGCAAATACATTATAGAATTAACGACTAATATTTGATTAGTAACATCAATGGCAAAAATAAGGTCAAACCTAAAATGACACCCTTGAGCCTCATATATACCATTATTTTTTTAAAAAGATTTTATTTATTTGACAGAGAGAGAGTGAGAGAGGGAACACAAGCAGGGGGAGTGGGAGAGGGAGAAGCAGGCTTCCCGCTGAGCAGAGAGCCGGATGTGGGACTCGATCCCAGGACCCTGGGATCATGACCTGAGCCGAAGGCAGACGCTTAACGACTGAGCCACCCAGGCGCCCTC